ATACTACCTCAACATATTGTGTTTTAGTGTAACTTTTTGTAAATGGTTACCAACTTACCATCACATGTTTAAAAAGTTAAAAGTTTAGGAAGATCCGAGGTGCTCAAAGTCCAGTTGTGACGTTGTCCACCGATCAAACCATGCAAGCAAACATGTATGATATCCCGACACGTGTCACAATCTGCAGGGCATCCTATCCCTGGTTTAATCTGAACCGTTGACTTACGATGTAGAAAACTGGGATTAGGCAGGGGTCCAGTTCACAAAGATAAGGGGTTTGGTACATAAATAAATGTGTTTTAGTTTAATTAATTAATAATTAATTAGTTTTCTTTTATTTTTAGCATCAACTTAATTCCTTTCTGTTACAAGTTCTCTTTTAAGTTTTAACTTCATCCATGGACCATGGTTACGATTTAGATTGAAAACTAGTTAACCAAATTCATCTGTTTTTCGTCTACTAAATCTCACCACACTTTTGTGCTTTCCTCACTGGAATTCATTTCTCATAAAACATGGCGACGTTTGATAAGGAGAATATGGAATCCGAAGAGGAAGATGTTAAAGTTTTATCAAAATCTGATCCTTTGCTCGGGGATCCACCGGTGTACACCATAACGCCAATCCCACAACGTCCGCCGCCGCCGATGGAAGTTACAGTGTTCAAGGAGGAGCCAACGGAAAACGATTCAAAAGGTTCGACGCCGGTGTCAAAACAAATGTTGGTGGCGCAACCACGGAGGGCTTCTAAAGACCGCCACACGAAGGTGGAGGGCCGTGGCAGGAGAATCCGCATGCCAGCGGTGTGCGCTGCTAGAATCTTCCAGTTAACTCGGGAACTCGGTCACAAGTCAGACGGCGAGACGATTCGGTGGTTGTTGGAGCACGCGGAGACGGCTATCATTGAAGCCACCGGAACGGGGACTGTTCCTGCAATTGCCGTTAATGTTAACGGGACGTTGAAAATTCCGACGACATCAAGTAACGGCAAGGATGGGGAAGATGGTAGGAAAAGACGGAAAAGAGGCAGCGAGTTTTATGACGTCAATGATTCATCGTCATCCAATTTCGCCCCTGTGGCCCCGGTTGCTCCACAAGGACTTGTCCCCTTATGGACCAACGCCGGTATGCACGGCGGAGCTTTCTTCATGATCCCACAAAGCCTTCCCGGCGGAGGCGGAGCATCCTCTGCCCAGTTGTGGGCCATACCCACCGGTTTTAACATCGGAGCAAGACCCATTCCCAGTTATGTGTCAGCAATCCAAGCAGGCGGAGGTGGAGGTGGAGTTGAAACGCCGTCAGGATCCGTATCAAACAATAGTGAGAGTGAAGATAAATCTGGGAAAGTTTTGACGAAATTGGCTCCGAGTTCAAGTTCAGTTAATACAAGTCAGATGATTAGGAATTTGTCTTTGAAGATTTACGAGAAAAGAGAGCTTCAATTGATGGTTGGTTCGACAAATCCATCTTCTTGATCGAATTCGTTATCAATAATCATTTAGATTATGAGTTGAATTGGAAGCAGAAAATGTTTTTATGTATTGTGTTTATTATTTTGATTTTTTAATAAGGTTAAGGGGGTTGGGTTGGGTGGGATCCTAGTGGCAGTGGGTCCCTGTTTGGGTTGTGTGGTCGATGAGATGTCGCGTGCATAAGTGGGGTTTGGAGACATGGTCATGGACCCTATTTTATCCTTTTGGTTATGGGGCATTGGGGGCTGCCATCAAAACCTCCAACAGAGGACACGTGTCGTAGAATAAAAATAAAAACATTATTAATCTACTATAATAAATGAATATCAATGTCATATGTCAATCTCTCATAAGTTTTAATACTTGTCATATGATATTTTTAAAATAAAATAAAATTCACATGTCAATTTTTAGATTTTTCAATTTTTAAAATTAAAGTCACATAATAATTATGTGTATCTATATGTAAAGTATTAAATATAATAGATGTCATAATAAATTGCAATTAATATGTTTTTCATTCCTTATTTTAAAATTTTATTTTAAAAAATATTTATTGTTTATATTTTGATATTTAATCTTTTTTTTAATCAACCCGTGTATTACACGGGTTTTACACCTAGTTTATTAACATTTATTAATCATTAATAAATAAAATGGTACTTCTTGTTGTGAATTTTAAATCACATCTAAAATTTCCACCATACAATTTCGGATTTCCCATACAAAATTACAATGTAGTGTAGTAATTGCTATGACAATATTGAAAAGGTCCATAGAAAACAAAAAAACGGCTCTATAAATTTGAGTCCCGTGATAGTGTGCGTAAAATGACACCCATGTTGAATATGTTTTTGACAAAAATAATTATAAAACTTAATTTTAGTTTTCAACAAATAATATTAAAAGAAATATAAAGGATTCTTTCGAATTATATATATATATATATATATATATATATATATATATATATATATATATATATATAGGGACGGACCTAAAAAATTTTCGAAGAGGTGGCAAAAAATAATTTAATCTATTTTATGGGGGCAAAAAAAATTTAAAGAGTAAAAATATGTTATTTTGAAAGGGTAAAATAATTTTTTCAAAAAAATATACCTATTTATTATTATTATTATTTTTTGTAGGGGGCAAATGCCCCCACTGCCCCCATTGTAGGTCCGCTATATATATATATATATATATATATATATATATCTATATATATATATATATCTATATATATAAAATATGTTTTATATACCATTTAAAAACCTCTAAAAGTTTATGCATAATGGATAGAAGTTTATAATACAACTAGGTTAAAACCCGTAGGACCCACGGGTAATGAATTATAATTGAATTTTAAAATTAATTAAATAATAAAATAAAATTTCATTAATTTTGACAACTTATGAATTGTAATATTGAATTTTTCAAAAACTTTTTGATTTGTAAGTATTTAATTACAAACTAAATCATAAGTATTTAATTAGAAATAGAGTTTTTTGAAAACCCTTATTTTTGGTGCATGATTCTTGTTGGACATACGCAGATGATGCATTACCGGTGTGTGTAATGAAATTAACATAAAATAAACAATACGTAATTATAAATAAATAAAGTAATATGATGGATTAAGTGTGATTTGCTAAAAATGAATAAAATATGCTACAAAAAAGTTAGCTACAAATTTTGAAAAACTTCCTTATAAACAACATTGGAAGTTTTATTTGTGACTTTGCCATCTTTATCTAAAATTAATAATTTTAATCATTCTCTGCTTTGAACTCTAGATAAGGCAACATACAATTGTCCATGTGAAAAAACTGGATCTTTGAGAAACAAACCAACCTTTGATAACGATTGTCCTTGACTTTTATTAATAGTCATTGCAAAACATATGGCCAAAGGAAACTGTCTTCTTGTGAATTTGAAGGGAATCTTTTTTTCTGATGGAGTTAAAGACATTCTTGGAATAAAAGTCCGGTTTCCAATATTAGTTCCAGTTATTATACGTGCCTCAATAACACGTTTGCCCAATGATAACACCTGTAGTCTTGTGCCATTACATAAGCCGTTTTTCTGATCAATATTTCTCAGTAACATTACTGAAACACCAATTTTTAAAACTAACTTATGATTTGGTAAACCGGATACTTTGAGACCATTTAATACATCAGGAGAGTATAAATTTGAATCAAACTGATCATGGACAAATTCGGATTCACATATGTTGTCTGAACTTAAATATTCAACTTCATCTCCTGGAAACTTGTTAAGCAAACGGTCGTTTATTTCCTGAACAACTTCATTTTTTGGAGCAAGTATCGCTCTTTCTTCGAAATAATTTGTGTTATTATAGTTCTCCAAAATTGACGGATATACAAACTCAATTAAGGAACCTATAGGATCATGTGAATCATTAATGAGAATATCATCAGGAATATCGATAATCGTTTCACCGTCATTCGGACCACCAAGTTTGCCTTCTCCTATATCCAATAGCCAATTTGCAAAATCTCTTATTTTTCGTATATCAGATTGATCCCTTCCAACAGTTAGCCTCATGTTTTTTGTTAATCTATGGACTTTGCAATGTTGCCATAAATATGAAGAACTCAAAGAAGCATTTATAATGTTGCCACCCAGAACAACAGGTAGAATCTGTCTAAAATCTCCTCCAAAGACAATAACTTTCCCTCCAAATGGAATATTTGAGATGGTTGAATTTCCACACCTTAATAAATCCTTCAAAGTTCGATCTAAAGCTTCAAATGCATGCTTATGGACCATAGGTGCTTCATCCCAAATTATTAAAGAGGTTTTTCTTATTAAGCTAGCCAACTCACCATCTGGATTTATTTTACAAAAAGAATCCTCTGTAAGTTCAAATGGAATTATAAATCGAGAGTGTGTTGTTCTACCACCGGGCAATAATAAGGAAGCAATACCGCTTGAAGCAACATTTAAGAAAATATTACCATCAGATCTAATTGCTGCTGATATTGTATTCCATAAAAAAGTTTTACCCGTTCCACCATAACCGTAAACGAAGAAGACAACTCCTTTATTTTCTTGAATAGCACTCATGATGTTTAGGAAAATGTTACGTTGCTCATTTGTTAATGCAAGAAACATACGATCATAGTCATTCTTTAAAACGGGAATGTCGTAATCTAGCTCCTCGGTGATTAGTCGATTGTTTGAAGAAGAAACGGATTCAACATCTGGGTATGGCATATTTTTGAAGTTTTTGAGAGTAGAGTTGTTTCGAAGTAAAATTTGTTCTATTTCGAACAAAGTTAAGTTTTTAAGTTCATCTACTCCGAGTGACAATTCTGCACGAAAATATTAAATAATTTAGAAAATATGTGGTCGATATCTAATAATTTTATTACTAATTATACAATGGCTGTTGAATAATAAAAAGAAATTAAATAAAGTAAAAAATAAGAAAAAAAATGCAATACATGCAGACTTAAATCTTTGTCGTTGGTTATATAGAATTTCATCTGCCAAATATTCTCATGTATTTTCCCAAACGACCTCTGGTTTAGACATACTATTACACATCAACAATGTAGCAAATAAGAAGCGTAGATAAAAACAAGATCCAGAATGACTTGCTTCTTTAATTGCATCAATGTATTCCTTGTCATCATCTAATAGCCCGAGTGCATAACAAGCATCTCTAAAAGAAGAATGTCTTTGACCATTTACCGTGAGAATTTCATCAAATGATGTCGGACCTTTTACTTTATTTAAAAGAATCCTTAAGAAATATGCTTCATCTAGTTTAGGTGAAACCAAATGAATTCTACTGATGGCTTTTCCTACTTTCCTTCGCTTCCAAAACCGACCATTTAATATCCAAACAAACTTTGTAGGAAATTCAACATATGTAAGTTTTCGTGCTTCACTGTCGATTGCATTACACTCCATCCAAGATGTGAACTTTGAAGCCGCAACAGAAGGTTTGTCAAGAACATCATCAATATCATCGTCTTCACCATATACAATCTGTTGTTGATTAGGTAGATGAAAAGGTAGTCTGACAACAGAAGGATATCTGCAATGAACATCATATTTAAAAATTCGCCATGATGCTTCACATGCTGATAAATATCTACAATCGTAATATTCAGCTATTTCATCGACCACATCATTATTTTTACATTCATTGTTGGCTGGTACAACAGCAACTGTAGCTCTGTCAGGACCCTTATTTATGTATTTAAACAAATACTTTATAGAAGATCCCTGATTGCACCATTCAATATTAATATGTGCCTGGTATCTTTTCAATAGATATTTGTTGTATGGAACAACATTTCTATTATCCAACCTTACACCTGATTTTTCTACAAAATGATCATCGTTTCTTCGCATATATAACGGAAAACCATTTTGATCAACAGACGAATGATTACAGAATTGTTTTGGAAAGTTTTTAGAACACTTTTTGTCCACCATGCATGGACAATTCATATTTTCAGCTCCACATGGACCATGAATCATAAACTCATTCACAAGGGAATACAATTCAGGATCTTCAATTCTGTCTGGTATCTCGGCTGAAATTATCGAATCGATAAGTTCAACAGTTGGTAGCTTGTTGTCAGAATGCATGAATAGACATATATGACTATGCGGCAAACCTCTTTTTTGAAATTCAATGGTATAAACATCTGTAAAAGAATTTGCAAAAAAAAAAAGAAAAAAGAAAATGTGATTAGATTATAAAAACATATAAAAAATATAATAATAAGAGTAATGTTTTATAAATAATTAAAAAATATAGTTTTAATTACATGCTTGAACTTTGCCGAAAATTTGATTCTCCCTTAAGTCTTTAATGAATGCATCAAGCTTGATCTTGAACAACCTACATAATATATCAGGCTTGTGTTCTGGTTGAAGTGAAGTATCCTTAAGAAACCTTTTAATCTCAGGCCATTTGGGATTACACGTAAAGGTTATGAAAAAATCAGGATATCCAAACCATTTACATAGTGACATAACATCCAAATAGTTTTGCAGCATATAGCGTGCTCTACCAGTAAAGGACGAAGGTAATATGACACGTTGGCCGACATTGGAGATATCAGTCGTTCCTTGAGCTTTTTGGTTACGTAAATTTTCATAAGAATCACATCTAAGAACATGTTGTTGCCTACGTATGTAGTACAATCTCTCTGTTTCCATCATAGTATAGGCATCTACCAGAAACTGTTGAAACAACCTTTTTGAATTAAGAATGAGAGAGAACGAATGATCTCTATCTTGAATCCTATAAGCGAAATATTCTCTCATTGTACATTTCGCACGCTTGGTGTTGGTCGTAAATGACACACCTCTATGAAGAATGTCAACACTGTAACCATCATCCCCATATGGAAATAGTAATGGATATTGGAGAGGAAGGTACGAAGGATGCAACTCACTGATACGTTGTAGAGAGCCATTTTTTGTTTGAACGACGATATCCCTCTTTTCAATTGAATCAGAAATGTCACCAATAATTAAAGCAGCAACCTCAGAAGCAGTCGGTAGGTTATATGTTCTTCCATCCTGCTCCCTTCTCCCGATAAGTCGTAATTTCATATCAACTTCTGGATTTTTCAGAAAAGTATCTCTCACCATCCTATAAGATCTAACCAAGACATTATTTGAATCCAACATCACCTTAATATCTTCAATAACATCACTATCAATTGATGTTGATTGATCCTTTTCCCCACTAAAATAAATAAATTTATACATAATATTAGTAATATATATATATATATATATATATATATATAATAATAAATTATGAATAAGAAGTTTGAATAAATACCGAAAACATCTTTGTCTATTTGCAATTTCGTTCTCAATATCATAAATGTATAACTGAGAGAATTTTGGTTCCGATCCTTTTGCTGGTAAAAGACTTCCAATACTATGATAATTTTGACCACCCAATCTGAAAATGTATGGAGCGTTTCCTCTATTGATTGAAGAATCAATTTTACCACCCATCGACGTAAAAGAAAACATTGAATTGTAACGTCAAATGTTTTTCATGAAGTGCTTGCTTTTAGAATCCGTATTTCGGAACATTTTTTCATAAGTTGAGGGTGCTTTCTTTAAATCTGGAAGTTGAACTTTGCCGTAAGGACAACATAATGAATAATCCGTGTTCCCCTTTTCTTTACCTCTAATGGATTCATTTCTCCATAACTTTGCATGACATGTTTGACATACAACATGTTGATCACCATGATCCAAATATTCTGTAAAATAAAAGTGTAGAAGAAAATATCAATGAAATTTAAAAGTATATACAACATAGTATTTGAAATGTAAAATTGATATTATTTTTTGATTACCATTTGAGATACCAACAATAAGATTTTCATTGTTGACTTGATGTATATTTTCTACATCTTCTGTCAAATCAATCAATGGGATAAGGGATAAATTTCTCGTCTTCGTTTTTAATTTATGACATCCTGGATTTAACTTGATTGATGATGAAGAATTGGTTACTGTAGATGCATTTTTTGATGTCATTTCATTTGAAAGTACATAGTACTGTCTTTTGTTTGGTAACTTGGAAGTGGCATATTTATCGAAACTGATGTTATCTGACCAAAAAAAATAAAATAAGTATATATATATATATATATATATATATATATATATATATATATATATATATATATATATATATATATATATATATATATATATTATATACAAAATGGATAATAGTATATTTTAAAAACAATAAATAATTACCATTTCTAATGTTAGATAACAGATTTATAACATTTGTAATGTTAGAAAACGGAGTTCTAACATCTGTAAAGGAAGGACAGTATTGTATGGTTGTGTTATGCATTGCAGGTGTTGTAAATGAATTGACATTTTGAGTTTGACGAACAATGTTGGTTGATTGATCTGCAAATAGCAACAACTTATAAAACTTGTAAATATAGGTATACAACTATCTAACAGTAAAACATAGAATATAAAATACTAATACGGTTACAGTTAATGATATTTTTTAAGAGATGTTGTAATGATGTACTTGGAACGTTCGATGTTGGTTTCATTTTCTTCGATCTTTTAATTTCGAAATATATTTTTCTTTGTCTTCTTTTCTCTCTGGCCTGCATGTGGTACATGTTACTGTTGTTTTCTGCATAAGAAGACATATGATAGGATATGAAATGTGAAATTAGGTAAATAATATGTTTATATAATACAATTGAAGTTAGTTAAAATTAAATAAATAATAATAATAATGTAAATGTATTTATAAAGTTACCTTTCTTACTTCGTTTATTAAAATGTGTAACAAAATTTGCAAATATTAATTTATTCATGTATAATATTTTTAAAAAAATTAGTCAATTGAAATCTTTAAAATTTAAATAATATAAAATAGAAATTTAATATTTGTTTATATTGTGTAAAAGAGAAATTAATTAAAAATATTAAAGTTAACATGAGTCGGAGTAAGATCCAAAGGTAGATATGGGTCGGTCGGATCCAAATAAGATTCGAAACCGACACTTAGTGTCAGTCGTCACATGTATTGTAGTTGCAGAAAGAACTCCGGTAAAAGAAGTCGCAATACTCTCCCAACAACTCTCTCTCTACAGACGTCTTCTTCATCACTCACTCTGTCTATCTTTCTCTCTCTGTGTTTGTGTTTTCGTATCAGTAAGCCTAAAACCCAATTGGTTTCACAGAAAATTTGAAATTTGGGTGTTTGTTTACAACGACTCCAATCGGCCATAGACGGTCGTCGAAGATTAGCCGTCAATGACTCTCCTTGATTCCCCCACAATCGATCGCAATCAACAACGCATGAAAGGGAACCTCGAAGATTTCATCTACGATGCCCTCTCCTCCTCCGATTTGGTCTCCGTCAGGATGAAAAAAGACGATCCAAAGGGAGACTCTCCTTCTTCCAGTGCCACCATCAATTATTTCCCTGATGTGCATCATGACTCATCATCCTCATTTCCAACCTAGGGCTTATTCCATTTCCATCTGTTCTTTCCCCAATTTCAACCAATTTTGCGTTCGGATGATATCAGGGAGAAACCCACCATGAATATTAGTTGGAAGCGTATGATGCAAGCAATGGGCCCGACCCAAAATCAAAAGATCCGACCCAATATGAGTTAGAGGAATGTATATTTCCTTTCTTTTGAAGGGAGTGTCTCTAAAATCCTTCAAAATTCCAAAACAAATCCTCAAAATTCCACATAAAATCCTCATTAAAACTCCCTTCATCCACTTTCCTTGCTTTTTAAAGGAGGTGGTTTATATATATATATATATATATATATATATATATATATATATATATATATATATAAAAGTTGTAAATACAATAATATTTAGAAACTAAATTGAGTTATAAATCAATCATACTTAAAAAAAACAATTAATAACCGAGAACATGGATTCTAGAGAATTTAGAAAAATAAAATAAAAGAGTGATGACAGGGATGAGGGACAGAATGATGCCATGTGGATTTTAATACAAAAACAAAGAGAAATAACTTTTATGTTATAACATGTGGGTTAAGTTGGGTAATATAAAAATTGAAAACTACATTTTATTATATAAAAATTATGATCGGCAGCTTTACAAAACTTAAAATTGATAAATTTCAATAAAATAATAATTTTTATAATGAAAATTTTATTTTGTAGATTATATTTTTAAACTAATGAAAGTTAATGTATTATACTTTTAAATAAATTAAAATCTCATTTTACATAAATTTGCTTTTGATAATTGGCTAACGTTTTGCTTAAAATTTAATATTTTTTATAAACTATAAAAATCATAACCATAATGGGCTAAAGGCTAAAAGGCCCATAAACAAGTGGGCTAATGATATATAGGCTAACATCCCCCCTCAAACTCACAATGTCATAGCAATACGCATTGAGAGTTTGTCACACAAGAACCGAAACCGAAAAGCCGATAGAGCCTTCGTAAAAATATCTGCAAGCTGCAAGGTTGATGAAACAAGCGGAAGCGATATGGTCTCGAGCTGTAGGCGATGACGGGTAAGATGACAATCAATCTCAATTGCTTCGTCCGCTCATGAAAAATAGAATTTCTCGCAATTTGTATCGCACTTTTGTTATCACAATGCAAGGGAGTAGATGAAGAAATGCGAACTCCCATATCCGCAAGTAGCCATCGTAACCAGATAATCTCACATGTAGATACAGCCATAGCCAGCCTCCGTGGAAGATATAGAAACAACGTCCTGTTTCTTGATCTTCCATGAAATGAGAGACTCTCCAAGAAATACGCAAAATCTAGTGGTGGATTTACGATCATGACGATCTCCATCCCAATCAGCATCACTATAGTACGTAACTCAAGAGAAGACGTCGAGAGAAACAAGAGTGTCTGAAACAGAGTGCCACGAAGATATCTCAGAATACGGAGAACATCTCCCTAATGAACAAATGTAGGAGCAGTAACAAACTGACTGACAACATGAACAACATTAGCAATATCGGGACGAGTAACTGTGAGATAGACCAAACTTCCCACAACAGTGCGATAAAGGTTCGGATCAGACAAAGGAACACCATCAGTAGGAGAGTACCGTGCATTGGTTTCAAGAGGAGTATCAACTGTCCGATTCTCAGAGAGGCCCGCCCGTGTAAACAAGTAAGATATATATTTAGTCTGAGAAAAGAAGATACCCTTTCTTAGACTGAGCTACCTCAATACCCAAGAAATAATGCAGCAAGCCCAAATCCTTCATAACAAATTGATGAGCTAGGTCATGCTTCAAAGACTCAATACCACCATGGTCATCACCAGTAATAATCATGTCATCAACATATAAGGACAAAAGAATTTGTCCTATATTCGAGCATCTAACAAACAAAGCAGAATCATGATTACTCTGGACAAATCCAAGAGAGGTAATCACTATGGAGAATTTCTCAAACCAAGCACGATGGGCTTGCTTGAGACCATACAAAGCTTTATGAAGCCGACAAACCTCACCCGACTGATGCTGAATTCGTGGGGGAGGAATTATATAAACCTCTTCATGGAGGTCACCATTTAAAAATTCATTCTTGACATCCATTTGAAAGATCTTCCACTAACGAACGGATGCAACTGCAATCATAGTACGTACTGTCGTCATCTTTGCAACTGGGGCAAATGTCTCCTCGAAGTCAAAACCGTACTGTTGGGAATACCCTTTTGCTACAAGTCTGGTATTGTACTGCTCAACAGACCCATCATCTTTTGTTTTTATCTTTTACACCCAAACGACAACCTATCATATTTTTCCCAGGAGGAAGAGAAACAAAATCTGATATATGAGTCTGATGAAGAGCAATGAGTTCCTCAGCCACAACATTCTGCCAAAGAGGATCTAAAACAACTTCTCTATACGATTCAGGTTCATACAGATGATGGATACTTGTTATAAATGAAGCAAATGGTCTTGAGTATGTGGAGTAAGAAATATATGGAAGCTTGGTGGATTTGACAGGACGAGTAGATTTCCTGAGGGGTGGTGGTGGAGGTGAATCTTCAATTTCAACAGTCGGAGGAGCAGACTCAGGAACAAGGGGAGTCAAGGAATTCTCTG